AACAGGGAGATTCAAAGAATAAAGTAAAAAACCTGTTGCCCATCCCACTCGCCAAAGATAGCTTCTGGCAGTACTTTCTTCTTTTTCCAAAATTGAGCTGGTGTATTTTCTAGAAATGTTCTGTGCATATAGAGACATAGGGTTAATCCTCACGATTAAAAGATTCTGTACTTGCAAATTTTCCTATCCACTGAAATTTATTTGTAACTTAAAAATCTGTATTCACAGAACTCTGGTGGTCATTCGCGGACACGTGCAGTCACCCCATGTGCACGTTCCCAGCTGAGGTCAAACAAGGCAACGGTCTGCCTTCTTGTTTTCATCTCTCATACTTACAAACAAGGGTCTTTTTCTCAGTCTGTTTAGTGCCACATTTTCTCGTTTTTTTGCTTGTTGGTGGTTTTACTGTTTAAAACGGCCCTCAAGGGGCACCTGGGTGGCTCAGCGGGTTGAACGTCTGCCTTCGGCTCAGGTGATGATCCCAGGATCCTGGGATCAAGTCCCGCGTAGGGCTCCCTGCTCAGTGGGGAGCCTGCTTCTCCCCCTCCGTTTGCCTGTTGCTCTGCCTACTTGTGTGCTCCCTGTCAAATAAATAAATCTTTAAAAAATAAAATAAAATAGAACGGCCCTCAAGGGGCTGCTGGGTGGCTCAGTCAGTTGAGCGTACGACTGTTGATTTCAGCTCAGGTCATGATCTCAGGGTTGTGGGATCGAGCCCCGCCCTTGGCTCCGTCCTTAGCGAGGAGTCTGCTTCTCCTCTCTCTTCCTCTGCCCTCCCCCTGCACACGTACTCATGTGCTCTCCCTCTCTCCCCTTCCCTGCCCCCCCCAAAATAAATAAGTAGATCTTTTAAAAATAAATAAAATAAAAGGGCCCTCAAGCATCATGCTGTCTAGCGTTCTTGAACACAAGGCTGTGACATGCCAAACAAAGGAAATCTGTGTGCTAGATAAGGTTTGTGTAGGTGTGAGTTGTGACATGCTGGCTGTTGAGTTCGGTGATATTGAATCCAACAGTATATTGGCCAGAAATACACAGGTTCTGTATTGATCGATTGATGAAAACATGACCAGAGGCTCACAGGAACCTAACCCTGAACTTCCCCTGGAGCGTGGTTCTGTGTTTGCTAGGGCAGTATCCCCAGTGACTTTATCGAACACAGCTTCTGAGAATAACCAGAATCAACTGTGTGTTTACACAAGTGGGTTAATACCAAAAATGCTTTCTTCGTAGTGCATCAGGGAACATCTTTCCTGTCAGTCTGCAGGGTATGCCTTACACTTTATCGATTGCAGAGTTTTTCGTATCATAAACACTGCCGTCTCTGTGATGACTCATTTAGATTGCCATCCATTTTTTTCACTACTGTAAATAAACGGTATGACAACAACTATCATTTTCCCTCTAACTTTGCCCATCTACGTGTGTCTGTGAGAAAAATGCCCTGCCATGCAATTGCTTGGTCAAAGGTGTGTGCATTGTGCGCATTTAAGATTTTGAGAGGTAGCATTAAATTACTTTGCAGAGGCTTTAACCAACAGATGACGAGATCCCTTTTTTTCTTAAATTGAGCTTAATTTGTGGGAGCCTTTGGAACCACACTTCTCTACCTAAATAAACGAGGAGCAGTGTCCCTCCCCCATACTGGCCCCTCATGGGTGTCTACTTGTGACTTTTCTTCTGTGCTCCCAGCAGGGAGTGCATTTGCATCCCGCCTTTCTGTCTTGTCCTGTCCAGGATGCCCAGATGAGAAATGAGTTTCCCAGACCAATTGATTTGAAGACTCTTTGAGTCAGAAATCATTAGTCTCATCTCTTAGTGAAGGTTCGGATAGAAGCTGTTGCCTGTCTAGGGCTTAAGCTCTGGACCTCAGGAAATTCTAAGAGAGGCCCGGCCCATCTCTTTCCCAGTAAAACACCTTCACTGTCCTTCAGTCACCCCCGCATCCCTTCCTTTCCGTAACCCCCTGCTTTGATTACTTAGCAACTGCTGCTTCTGAGAAGCAGCTTCTCTGACAGCAGGGCAGGGGGGTAGGATGGGGTCTCTCTGTTGGAGATCTGGAAACTTGAAAGCAGTCTTAATCCCTCCTGGTAGACAGGAGTGAAGGAAGGCCTGCGGAAGTTAAGCACACCAGCTATCCCCCAAACTGAGAATGCTTGAGATGCCTCTAGGGCACTAATTGTAGCCAGCAGATGCAAAGGGGGCCATTTTCCCAGGTGTCCTTTTTTTAGGGGTGTACTTTGGACAAAGCATGAGATTTATTTACAGGATTAAACCCAAATCTGCAAGGATAGAAATATGGCTGCCCCCATTCAGGAGGTAATTTGTGTAAGGGGGGCTAGGAGGGGGGCTCCTGGGTGGCTCCATCGGCTAAGCGTCTGCCTTCGGCTCAGGTCATGATCTCGGGGTCCTGGGATCGAGCCCTGCGTCAGGCTCCCTGCTCAGCAAAGAGCCTGCTTCTCCATCTGCCTCTGCTGCTCCCCCTGCTTGTGCTCTCTCTCAAATAAATAAATAAAGTTTTTTTAAAAATACAAAATAAATTTAAAAATTAAAAAAAAAAAAAAACACTTAAGAAAAGGTGGCTGGGAGGAGTACTACCATTTCCTCCCTGCCGTGGCCTTCCATTTCAGAAATCAGGATGTGTCTTCCGTTCGATGTGTGGACTTCACATGACAGTCGTTGATTATTTCCTCCAGAAAGCTGCTGCAACATCGACGGTGCCTCTTCTAATCAGTGGCATTTTGGTGGTGGCCACTCAGCACAGGGTGGACTGGAAAAAATGGTCTGTCTCATGAGGGCCACACCAAGTACATCCGGGCTTGGGGCTCTGATGTTGTAGTGCAGTGAGTGAGGCCATGGTGATTTTCCATTTCCTGTTCCCATCTCTGCAGACTGGCAGGCTTAGAGCTATTTTCAGGGAAAGGATTTTAGGTGACGTGTCGGTCAGGAAGCTGGCTGGGCCGGAAACTCAGAAGTGTAGTTTGTGTAGTTTGTTTTATAGCAAGTCTAGTGCTCAAGACTGTTGGTCCAGGGCCTGGGGTTCTGAGATCCAAGTGGGGTTTTTGGGGGGTTGTGTGTGTGTGTGTGTGTGTGTGTGTGGCTGGGGAGAATAAGGGAGGAATCTTAAGATGCATGGGTTAGTTGAAGATGCAGTGTTCAGGAGTCCTTGACCCCCATGGGTGAGTCACTTGAAAAACTTTATTTGACCTCTACTGTACACCTGGGGAGGCGGTGGCAAACAGAAGGAATATCTACAGTCCTTGTCACTGAAGATAATTCATTCCACACACATGTACCTACATACGCTGAGCCTGGGAGATGGGGGGGGGCACAAGACAGATCAAGTCCCCGTCCTCATGTTGCTTATGATCTGGAGGCATCTCCCAAAGAAGCAGCCTTCAAGTCAGGGATTGCCAGCAGGGCTCCGGGCACCTGCCCAGCGCAAGCTAGTGGCCCTTCTAAGAAAATCTAAGTGTCGGGGCGCCTGGGTGGCTCGGTTGGTTAAGCGACCGCCTTCGGCTCAGGTCATGATCCCGGAGTCCCGGGATCGAGTCCCGCATCGGGCTCCCTGCTCAGTGGGGAGTCTGCTTCTCCCTCTGACCCTCTTCCCTCTCGTGCTCTCTCTCATTCTCTCTCTCTCTCAAATAAATAAATAAAATCTTTAAAAAAAAAGAAAAAAATCTAAGCGTCTTTACTTTCAGGAGAATAGGCTGGCCCACATCTTAGTGGGAAAACGACCAAGACATTGACTTCAGGCACCCTGTCTGATCTTCACACTTATCTGCAGCTTGGCTGCTGGGAGCTAGGCGTTCATCTTTCTTTTCTTTTTATTTACTTTAACCTTGAACCCTCTCTGGAGTGAAGAATTGTGTCTTACTGTACCCTGTCCCCTGTTACATCCAGGATTGCGTTACGCACATTCTCCTGTTAATGCTGAAGGGAAGAGGGCAGAGCTAGCGAGTTCTTATTCCTTGGAACCCTTCCCCCCGGGAGAGACACCGCCAAGTTTATCAGATTATACCTCTTCCTTGTCTTGCCTCAAAGACTCAGGTTCTAAGTGCTGGAGAATGTTTGCTCCCCTGGTCCCAGAAGCCTGGCCTTCATTGGGCACACCCTACCTAATCAGCGCGACTCGGGATACCACCAGCAGGGCAACTTCGGTTGGTTTTAAAACGACTCTCAAACCCAGCCTGTTATACCCTTGTGTGGGGAGATTAAAGATGATTTTTATGTTAGGTGTGTTTGCCTGGATTTTCAAGATTGTCTTCAGGGAGTATCTGTTTCCGCTCCCTGCCTCCTGAGTCTTCATTTTAATTATAAGCATTTCAGTGTCTAGACAGGAAAAGTGTCGTCTTTGTCACTGACATGTTGGGGTTCCTGGAACTCTTCTAGGAAAGTCTGATTTGTGGGCATTTATAAAGCAGATTCACACTGAGATAGTCTTGGACTAAGGCAGACCCATGTTCCGGAACCTTCTTTGGCAGTTACTCTGCTCGTTCTGGCTCCTAGGGTCCCATCAGTGTCATTTTCTGAGAATTTTACACTGTTTTTCTTCAGTGGGGGAGTGATATTTTTTCTTTGTAGAAAATTAGAAAATAGAGAAAACTACAAAGAATAAAACAAGGGGCACCTAGCTGGCTAAGTTGGTAGAGCATGCAACTATTGATTTCAGAGTCGTGAGTCTGAGCCCCACGTTGGGTGTGAAGCCTACTTAATTAAAAAAATAATAATAATAAAGAATAAAATAGGGGCGCCTGGGTGGCTCAGTTGGTTAAGCGACTGCCTTCGGCTCAGGTCATGATCTCAGGGTCCTGGGATCGAGCCCCGCATCGGGCTCCCTGCTCAGCGGGAAGCCTGCTTCTCCCTCTCCCGCTCCCCTGCTTGTGTTCCCTCTCTCGCTGTTTCTCTCTCTGTCAAATAAATAAACAAAATCTTTAAAAAAAAAAAAAAAGAATAAAATAAAAATTACTTACAAATTCACTACATTATTTTTTTCTGTAATCAAAATTTGGGGGTAGAGGGCAGATCCTGGCCCCAGTGATCAGGGAATGGCTAATATGTTGTTTATATGCCAGGCGGTTCTTTGAGTTCTTTGCATGGATTTACTCATTTGACCCTCAGAACAATCCTATAAAATAGGCAGTATTATTTTCCCCTCTTGATAGAGGAGGAAGCCGAGGCCCACTAAGGTGCCTTGCCCAAGGGTATGTGGATGGGGCCCAGGGAGCCATCTCCCTGAGTCCTTGCTCTCAGCCACCACACACAACAACAGCCTTTGTCCTACAGCTGGATTGCTCCCTTCCATGGCCGCACCGGGAAGACAGGCTAGCAGGTGGTGGGGTTGCTAGGACACTCCTGGCTCTCTTTTCTGAGCCTGCAGAGCCACGTGTTTGCTGACCTGGGTGAACACCGTCTGCAGGACCAGGTCTCGTGTCTGGAAGCCCGCTCCCCTTCTAACCTTGAGAGAAGTGGCCAAAGTGGCCTGTCCCCCTCCTTTCCCCTGCTTCAGCGGAGGTGTCGGGACCCCTGATGTCCACACCTCTAGCCCTGCAGTCCAGAAGGACTGGCTCTCTGCTCTCCCTGCAGCCGCGGCCCCATCAGGCCTGGTCCCGAGCAGCCCCTGGTGAGCTGGGAGTGAGCATTCTGCAGAGCAGTGACCTCCGTTACCGGAGAGAACTCTGTTCCCCTGCAGGGAGCCCTTGCTCAGCCCTGGCCCCAGATGCCAGCCATGCACCTGACAAGGGTCCCCCCTCCCACTGCCCCTGCTTTTAGGTTAGTCAGTGAAATAGTTTGTAAAGCGGAGCACAAAGGAGCCCGGGATTTGTTGGGGCCGGCGTGTGACGTCCTTGCACCATTGTCTCCATTCTGAGACGGGGAAGTCCTCGTAGCCAGAGGGGAAGCCACTGTGTGACCCACCTGGCCAGATGCCACCTCTGACCTGGGAGGCCTTTTTACAATTTCCTCCTGAAGAAAACAACCACCCGCAACCTCACCTCTTGTCTCTGTTTCCAAACTTGGACTCAGGAATTGGCTCAGCCAGCCGGAAATGTGCTTTCATTCATTCCTTCGTTCGTTCATTCCTTCATTTTTCCAGTATTCATTGAGCCCTACTCTGGGCCAGACTGGGGATGCCGCCGTGGGTGGAGCAGCTCGCTTTAAGGGAGGAAGGAGACAGGCGCTGGGAGGAGGGACACACTGTAAGGCCATGTGTGGACGGTGCTTGATCTGTTTTGTGCTGCACTGTGTCCGAGGCCCGGCACCTTGGGGGTGTATCTGTGTGGGACGAGTCCTCTTCAGGGACAGGGACTGTCGACATTGCTGCGCCCCATGCCATCTCCCTGGGGCTGTCAGCCACTGTCAGGACCTTTCTTTGTGTCCTGAGGAAGGATGAAAGTCACCCAGGGAAGGTCCCAGGTCCCCCTTCACTCCAGGTCTCCCCAACTGGCCCCTGAGATCAGAGGCTTTTTCTCCAGGACATTTCCCACCCTCCAGACCCCTGCAGCCGGTCAAGGGCAGAGAGGGAGGGGGCGCTCCCTGCTGCACCCCCTCCCCCTGCACTGTGGGCCTCACAGCTTCCTCCCTTCCTGGAAGAGTGCCAGCACACTGCCTTTAGCTGGAGGGCTTTCGCGCTCCGTCCCTGGCTGTCTCTCTCTCCGTATCACATCCTGTCCAGAAACTGAGCTGCCGTTGTGCGTGTGACTGCAATTGCACAGTTGGCCCCGAATCAACGGGAGTGCACCTGCAAGAGCAAGGTCCAGTGTTGGTGGGGCGCCGGGCACCATCCCAGAACGCTGAGCTCTCGCGCCCCCTTTGCCACAGGTCCACTTCTGTTGTCCCGGTCGCAGGGGCCAAGATGTTGAGACTTTGCCCTCACAGCCAGCGAGTGGCTGGGCCTTTGTAGAACCCCGGGAGGGAGTCATCATCCGTCATCATCCTGCCCTCCGTGCTGCATCGCCAAGTAAAACGGTCTTTGAGAGGGTGTTGTCCTCAGAGCAGTTTTCCTGGCTTCTCCGTCACATTGCTCAAAATCTGTCTCCCATGGCTCCTCAGAAAGACACTGCCTATCGGATGTACGAACAGTGTTCCCCTAGGGAGACAAGTAGGAAGCCCCCTCCTGGCCTCCAGTAACTACAAAAAGCCAAAGAATTTTTTTAATGGAAAAGCTGGTGTGGGTGGGTGGGTGGGGATGTGGTCCTTTATTACAGAAAGTGTCCCCTTAGAGATAGCTCTTCCACTTCATTCCTGTCACTGGAAGAAAAAAGTAGGCCCTGCTGTCTACAGATCTTTGTTGGAAAGGCTCTGGAATTAAAGTGCTAACTAGTATAAGCAGGGGGAGGATGACGAGAGTATGTGTGCAGAACAGAGCCATTAGGTGGGGAGGGGCCATAGCTGGGCTCATACCCACATCTGTGGGAATCCATGCACCCAGACAGCTATGGAGACTTTCTGGGATTGCCGGGACCCTGGTGACTCTGAGAGGCTCTGGACTTTGGAGCCATTTATTCATCATTTTAGAAAATAAATCTGTATTAAGTTTATGCCAGATGCCATGCTGGGTGAAGGGCTCTGTGGTTCAAAACACACGTGAGGCCTGCCCTCCTGGAGCAGATAACCAGATTTCCAATTTTCCTTTGTCCCTGACCAGCTGGGTGTTGGGAGCAACTCACTCAATCCTTCTGAGCTTCTGATTCCAAGTGGGAGACACTCCCAGCCTCCAGGCTTGTTACCAGAATGCACTGAAAATGCAGTGACAGGGAGAAACCCCCCCGCCCCCCTGGGGCTGCCTGTGTTTCTCGATGCCAGTTTTGCTGTGGCAGAAGCTGGCATGCAGCAGAGAACCGAGCATGGGAGTCCCGGTGCCCCCGGAGCTCACATCCTGGTGTGTGCACATTCTGCCTCTTGCTGACCAGCTCGGTGACCGGGAAAGTCCCACCCCTGTGGGGAGGACCCATCCGGGAAAGGCTGTGGACCCCAAACTCCCCTTTGCCTCCCTCTACGTGAACCTCAGGACCTCCAGCCCCAGCGTGGTGTTTAAGGTCACAGTCCAGGGGAAGGAGTCTGGAGCCACTCTAGCATCTAGCGCAGCCCGGCAGGGGTGGGGGGAACCTTTTATTGAGCTTATTTCTACCCCTTTTTCAAAGCCTGTAAGAAAATGTCTTGTAGCGCTGGCTACCAGCTTTGGTTCATCTGTACCTAACTAACAGGACTTTAGAAGAAGATCCCAGGTTTGGGTACAAAGGATAAATACCGTGTTCCGTAACTCATAGAGCAGCAGCTGCTGCCCTTTATGGGATGCTGTCTGTGCCTGAGGCCCTGAGCTTCCCTACCACCGTTGGAGGTCTGGGTTTCCGGGTGATGGCCCGAAATCACACAAGTTACATATATATATTACTGGGGCGAGGATGGAAAACTGGTGCCTGAGCCTGAACTTGATTGAGGCTTTTGGAAAGGGCATTCCCAACCTGTTTCCAGTCAGGACCTCCCCCAGAATCTGGGCTCCCCAGGTCACAGAATGCTCAGCCCTCATTAAACACTGTCAGCTCACATTAAATATTTGCCCCTCCTGGTGGCCACTTCTCTGCCCTTGGAGGAAGGAAGAATCTGTGGAAGAAAGAATTAGCATTGGAAAGGTCTGCATTCAGCCTGGCCCTGCCTGGGAACTCGTGGGCCCGTGCTTCTGCCCCTGGGTACAGGGGAAAGCTCCCCATCAGAGCTTCCTCGTTCCCCTTGGGCTCCCACTCACTATCTCTGCTGCCTAGCCCTTCCCACGGTCACCTCCAAAGCTGTCCGGCCCACCCAGAGGGCCAGGCAAGACCGCGAAACCGCTGGAGCTATCCCCCTGACCTGCCTGCCTCCCTCTCCCCTAACATCAGCACCTTACAGAGCAGGACAGAGGGGCTTCTGAGGCTTGTGGGGCAGCCATGGGGGTCTCAGTTCCAAATCTGATTTTGTTCTTGTTCTCAGATGACAAGAGGGGGGGAAACTTTAAAAATAGGAGAGTGGCCCTTCTTGGGGAACAGTAGCTTTGCCTGTTTTTTTTAAAGCATTGCATTTTAGGGCGCCTGGGTGCTTTAGTCCGTTAAGCATCTGAATCTTGATTTCAGCTCAGGTCTTGATCTCAGGGTCCTGAGTTTAAGCCCTGCTTTGGGCTCCATGCTGGGTGTGGATCCTACTTAAAAAAATTTTTTTTAAAGCATTGTGTTTCTTGGGGCGCCTAGGTGGCTCAGTCGGTTAAGCGTCTGCCTTCCGCTCAGGTCGTGATCCTGGGGTCCTGGGATCCAGCCCCACATCCACATCGGGCTCCTTGCTCAGCGGGAGGCCTCCTTCTCCCTCTCCCTCTGCCCTTCCCCCTGCTTGTGCTCTCTCTCTGTCAAATAAATAAATAAAATCTTAAAGAAAAACCTGGTTCTCCTTAGCCAAGAATCTGTGGCCTCAGATCGGAGCCTAGGTCTAGCTCCTGAATGGACAGCAGGTAACCCTGAATGAGTCCATAGACAGGCGTCTTGCTGGGCCTGAAGGACTGACGGTGGGGGAGTTTTCACGGGGAGCAGGGTGTAAAGCAGCCTGCTTAGTAGCGTGTGAGCAGCCGTGGACCTGGACATCACAGACGGGGCCACACTGACTTTTTACAGAATTCTACTCTGCATGTGCACCTTTTCGTTTCGGAATTTTTCTAAAGGCCGTCTAAATGTTGATGAGTGTTGGAGATGGGTAACGTCTTCTTGGGGGTTCGTTATGACATTTCTTTCTTTTTCCAAAATAAAACATTCTTTCAGCAATTAAAAATATTGTTTCTCTTGGCCCTCATTCAGAAAAGTCAGGAATCCTATTTGGCCTGCTTGAGGCTTGTTTGCTAGGACCTTGGGTGGGAGAAGAAAAGCCAGGCTTTAGAAGGAGTCAGTTCCTAGAGACAGAAAACAGAATGGTGGTTACCAGGAGAGGGGGGTAGCAGGGACAGTGAGTTACTGTTTCATGGGGATACAGTTTCAGTTTTGCAAGATGAAAGGAGTTCTGGTGATTGGTTGCACAACCGTGTGAATGTACTGAAGGCCGCCGAACTGTACGGTTAAAATGGTAAATTTTATGTCATGTGCATTTTACCACAACAAACAAAAATGCTATTAAAAAAAGAAAAGGGAAAAAAAGAAGCTGGCCTGTGAGAGTCCCTCCTGAGGCTTGCTGGATTTGACAGCGTCTTGCCTCTGTGGTTGAGTGAGGCCACTCGGCTGAACTCATGGTCGTCGGTCCAATAAATGTGTGACCTGCTGGGAATGGCCGGGGGTCCTCCAGGTTGTCTGTGCACCAGCCCCCAGGAGGAGCAGGAGTGTGCAGAGGGTGTGCAGAGGGTCCTCAAGGGCATTATTTGGAGGTCCCACCCCCTGCCCCCTGCACTGAGGGCTCATGCGCCTCTCCCTGAGCTGCAGACCTGGGGCGAGCGCTTCAGTTATTTTAGGATTTTTTTCTTAAATTTTACAAGTAGGTCGATATGGCTCCCCCTGCTCAAATTTGGGACAATGTGAACATCCAGAAAGAAAAATGTAGACAGAATGATAGAATTATTAAAAATTCATTTCAACCCCAATGTAGTTATTTATTCAGGAAAGACTCATTCATGGATGCTAAAGCATTGAGTTAAAGGTTGTTGGGAGACAGGGTATTCAGAGTCTGAAGGTGTCACCTCACAGATTACTTATTAATTTCACAGGAAAATGGTACCTTTAAAATGGAGAGATCTGGTGTCACCACCACCTTAACCAAGCGATCAAACATAGCATCGCTCTTGCCGGGACAAACTGACGTTATATAACTCCTGATGTGATCCGGTAAGAAGGACAAAACATCGCTTCTGTGGTTTTCTTACCCAAACTGATCCTGAGGAGACAATCCGGAATATGGGGCATATATATATATATATATATTTTTTTTTTTTTTAAGTAAGCTCTAGGCCTAACGCAGAGCTTGAACTCCTGACCCCGAGATCAAGAATTGCATGCCCTACCAACTGAGCCACGCAGGCACCCCCAGAATATCGGACATTTTAGAAGAAAACGGGCGTGGATTCATCCAGAGTCAGTGTCTTGAAAAACAAAGAGTGGGACTAAAGAGATATAACAGACACCATGTGTGAGCCTTGTCAAATCTGGATCCAAAAAAACAAGCTATAAAAGACATTTTGGGGACTCCTGGGGGAAAGTCAAATGTGGATTGAATATTAGAAAATGCAGGGGCGCCTAGCTGGCTCAGTGGGTGGAGCGAGCGGCTCTTGATCTCAGGGTCATGTGTTTAAGCTCCACGTTGGGTGTGGAGCCTACTTAAAAAAAAAAAAGGAAAGGAAAGAAAAGAATATGTTATTGCATTAATGCTGTTGTTCTTAGGGTTGGTAATAGCATTATGATTATGTAGGAAAATGACTTCAGGGATGGACGCTGTCCAGGGGTGGCATGTCACGTCTGCAACTTAATTAGAAATGGTCCCGCAAAACCACTATGTATACACACACACACACGCACGCACGCACATGCACACACACGCATACACACGCGCACACACACACACAACCCCAAATGTGGCTCAAAGTCAGCAGTTGGTGAATCTGGCCGAAGGGTCATCTGTGTTCATTGTTTACATCATTTCAACTTTTCTGCGGATTTGAACGTTTTCCAAATAAAACATACATTGAAGGAGCCACAGTGAGTCTGTGGCTCTGGTCTGCCTTGGAAAGACTCAGACTTCTGTCCCCCACACATCCCGGGGGACCCGCCTGAAGACTTCCAGGCATCTGGTGTCAATGCAGTTTGTCGATAAGGAGTAAGCAGCTGAGTGGCGGCACTTGGTGGTGGCAGCACCAGGGACAAAGTGCTGGCCTGCTCACAACCATGGGAGGAGGGGAGGAAGTGTCTGCCAGGCACGTGCAACACCAGGAAACTCATAAAATCTTTTCTGGCTGCGAACTGTATTGTGCTGGGGAATAGTTGCTGAGCTGGGGTCTGCCGGCCAGCAACCAAGAGCTGGGGCTATAAGGTCGCTCCTAGATGTGGAGCAAAGTTCTCCGAGCCTCGGGGGATCTGAACAGAACCTGCCTGGGAGGATCCAGTGCCCGGCCCAGCAGGAGGACTCTGTCCCTTTCTGTGTGCTGGGCACTCTGGAAACATTTTCCATCCTGCGTGGCCCTTTCATCTCCACGGGGGCATCTTCCTAAACAGGAAACAAGCGGCCTGTGGCGTTTAGAGCTGTTAGGTCCAGAGCAAAGTCCTTGAGGATTCAGACCCCACCCTGCCTGGCCCTGGCCTACAGAAGCTTCTCCAGACTGGGGAGCAGGTGAATTCAGATTCCTTAGTAACCCGTGGCCCCTTCCACTGGGGGGTAATCCCCTCGGGCCTGGTGACTAGGGAAGGGACAGAGGTCTGAAAGGCTTGAAAAGCTCTGAGGGCAGGGAGAAAACTAATCGCATTGAGCCCATCTGCCGGTCAGAACAGATTGCTGTGCTAGTGTCTTAGCGCCACCCCCAGGGCTGTGACCTTCGCTATGGCACCCTCTGCTCTGGAGGAAAAAAAGAGCACTTGTATCCACTGAGTGTCTGTGAATGGTGTTGGCTTTGCTCAGCACAAGGTTCAGGGAAAACTTCACAATTTTGCAAAAATATTTTTTCTTTCTTTTTAAATTGCACAAAGATACGATCGTTGGAGAAAAAATTAGGGAATGCAGGTAATCGGAGATAATCAGAGAACAATTCAAATGGCCTAAAATTCAGCTATCGAGAGAGTACCATTCATCCTTTCGACAAATATTCATTGGGCAGTTACTCCGTACCAGGCAATGTGGGAAGCTGGGGACACAGCTGCAGGTGGGTCAGACGTGGTTCTTGTCCTCATAGGCTTCGACCTATTAATGACCTATAGGTCAGGTGCTAGCCATTAATATTAATAGTTGATACTAAGCAATTTGAGCGTGAAAAGTGCCTTGATGACATCCAGTGGCCTCTGAACTGAGCGCCAGAGGACACGTGATTAAGGTGAGTGAAGGGATGAGCACGCCCAGCTGGAAGAGTGGTCCCCTGCTTAGGGAGGATGTGGGGGGCTGGCAAGGCCTTGTCAGCCAGGCCCCACCCCAGGATTTCCATCCATACAAGAGGCTCTTCCCGCTTGGGCAGCATTGACCTTGGTGTTCCTGCCTGAGTTGCCCCTGCTCGCAAGACAAGGGAAGGTGTGTGCCCTGAAGATGGCGCCACGCCAGGCTTCGGTCCCGACGGAGAGGGCTCTGGAAGGAGAGGGTCTGGGCTTGCTGTAAGCTGCGTGGCAGTCTCCACTCCTCGTTGTTCTGTACATTTCTACCTGCTCACTCCTGCCCGGCAAAGACCAGAGCCTCACGTCACACCATCTTTGCCCGCTTAGTGGGTTCCTTACGGCTCGCTGAGAAGCTCTCAGGGAGGGGCACTGGGTGGCTCAGTTGGTTAAGCAACTGCCTTCGGCTCGGGTCATGGTCTCAGGGTCCTGGGATCGAGCCCCGCATCGGGGCTTCGCTTCTCCCTTTACCCACTCTCCCTGCTTGTGTTCCCTCTCTCGCTGTGTCTCTGTCAAATAAATAAAATTTAAAAAAAAAAAAGATCTCAGGGACATTTTTGGAGGCCTGCCTGGGGAATGCATTGCATCCGCCGTAAGGCAGCCTGAAGTGGTTACTTCCTTCCGTCTCCTAAGAAGGGTGAAAGTCTGATGGGAACTGGGTCACGAGCTCGCAGTTGTGCACAGGTGTGTGGATGCTTTGTCGTTCTTTCAGTCGGCACAGACAGACGCATGCTTTCTGAGCTCGGCTGGCCACCCTGTCTCTTCTGACATTCACTCAGCAGCATTCTGCCCCCAGTGAGCTTGGGCTCCGAGGCCACAGGCAACCACGCCAAGGCCAGGCCTCAGGACTCACCGTGTGATGTGCAGGTCAGGCGGGACGGGGACTGTGGTCGCGGAAGGCTTCCAAGGGGCAGGGACTTGGAGGGTGAAGGACGGGGAGAGTTTGGCGGAGTGAAGAGGGGAAGGGTACCCCAGGCAGAGGGGTGTGTAGATGAGGGCGAGGGGGCGCGGGGCCTTCAGAGAACTGCAGGGACGGTGGCCACAGCCAGGTGTGTGTGGTTTCCGCAGGGCCAGGTGGGTTAAGGCTGGGAGGCCCGGGGCCACCGCCGCACCTGCAGAGCCTCCCACCGTGGAGGCCGCCCCTGGAGCTCTCCACCGTTGCTGACTGCCAGGGATTGTGGTGTAAACACCCCGTCGGTTCCCTTGACCCTCGAGCGGGATAATCGAGGCTCATGTTTAATTTGTGTTTGTATCTAGCTCCGTGAGGCTCTATTTCATGCAGTTTATTTCCAGGGCCTTCCAGTATCTATTCGTTGTTCCTTCAGTACCTTCTGAGCCGTGTGACTTGCCTGTTGATGGAGTTTCACATCTTTTTCGCCACCGCCATTGATAGGAATGTACCGCAGTTATCTCTTCCTACCACACAAATCAAGCCCACACTTGGTGATCTAGACAACAGTGATGTGGTCGCATGGCTTTTCCTCTGCTGGTTTCACCTGCGCTCATTCATCCAGCTGCTGGAGGGACGGGGCTGGAAGGTCTGAGATGGTCTCATTCGCATGTCTGAGAGTTGGTGCTGGCTGTCACCTGGGTACCTCTGTCCTCCTTGTGGCCTCTCCACCACCAACAGGCTAGACCTGCTTCCTTACATGGCGGTCCCAGCATGGCACTCCAAGGGAGGAAGCTGGAAGTCCATAATGTCACTCACACATACAACACAGCCAGTTTCGTTGACATGTAATTGACATACAACGTTTTGTTAGTTTAGTATATGTGCCTCCGAAGGGAGCACATCATTGTATTAGTTTCAAGTATATATAAATCATTTGATATATGTACATATTGTGAAATGATCACCACAGTAAGTTTAGTTAACATTCATCACCTCACATAGTTACAATTTTTTTTTCTGGTGATGAGAATTTTTTTTAAAAAAGATTTTATTTATTTGAGAGAACGTGTGCATGAGAGCACAGGCTGGGGGGAGGCAGAAGAGAGGGAGAAGCAGACTCCCCGCTGAGCAGGGAGCCCGATGCAGGGCTCGATCCCAGGACCCTGAGATAATGACCTGAGCCGAAGGCAGACGCTTACCTGACTGAGCCACCGAGGCGCCCCTGGAAGTTTTTACCTTTTGACCACCTTCACAGGTTTCCCCCCACCCCTGCCTCTGGTAACCACCAGTCTGTTCTTTGTGTCTATGTGTTTGGCTCTTTTAGATTCCACATATAAGTGAGATCATACAGTATTTGTCTTTCTCTTCCTGGTTTATTTCACTTAGCATAATACCCTCATGTTGTCGAAAATGGCAGGATTTCCTTCTTCGTACGGCTGAATATTATTCTATTGTGTATAAATAACCACATTTTCTTTATCCATTCATAACCCAGTGGACACTTGGGTTATTTCCCTGTTGTGGCTATTGTGATTAATACTGCAGTGAACATAGGGGTACGGATAACTTCAAGATAATGTTCTCTTTTTGCTTTTCCTCCCTTTCCTGTCTTCTCCCACGTCTCCCACTTACCGGTCTTTCCTAGGCTCACCTCCCAAGCAAACCGTTTCTGAGGGAATCCAAGCTAAAAACCTATTGCCGGGGTTTAAACCCAATGCTGAGGGCAGTGGGGAGCCATTGTGGGGGGTGGGGACAGGATCCAATTTGCAAGGTCATTCTGACTCTGGCTGTCAGGCCCCTGACCAGTCCTGAGATTGAACTAGTAAGGGCCAGACGGGGGTGGAGAGAGGCCTCCCTTATTCCCCAGGCCCTCACTGCTGTGGCTGAGTGCCGTTGAGCGCCTCCTGTGTTCCATGTGCTGGCCTGAACATTTGGTGTGCATGTTCTCATTGTCTCTGACAAACTTTATGAGGCTTAGGTTCCATTTTGCAGAGGAGGGGACTGAGGTGAGACACCTGTGCACGATCACACAGCTGGAAACGGTGGCTTGGGGGATCCAGGCTCTGGTGTGTCAGACCCAGAGTGTATGCTGTTAGTCCCTTGGCAGTGGGGCCTTTTTGGCTTTCCTCCCTGCCCGCACTGTCCAGGCACTTTAAGATGGGCCTTTACCTCCTGGGTGAAGGCAAGGGCCGGTCGTCCAATAACCTCTGCTTCTCCTGCAGGTAAATTCGAGGACAGGGAAGACCACGTCCCCAAGCTGGAGCAGATAAACAGTATGAGGATCCTGAGCGGCCAGAACTTCACTCTCACCAAGAAGGAGCTGCTCAACACAGAACTGCTGCTCCTGGAGGCCTTCAGCTGGAACCTCTGCCTGCCCACGCCCGCCCATTTTCTGGACTACTACCTCTTGGCCTCTGTCAGCCAGAAGGACCACCACTGCCACAGCTGGTCCACCGCCTGCCCCCGCAAGACCAAAGAGTGCCTCAGGGAGTACGCCCACTACTTCCTGGAGGTCACCCTGCAAGGTGGGGCCCGACAGCGGGACCTGTTACCCCTTCCCCACCCACACAGACGCATGTCCACCCACGGAATCCTTACTGACCGGGGCCTGTCCACCCAGAGCACCCCCACTTCGCAGGGGATACACAAAGAAGGGGCAGTGATTCTCCCAGCGTGGTACCAATACTATGTAATGACAAATAGCAGCTTAGATCCTGGCAGCTGGCTCCCTACAGACTTACTGATCACCTGCTAATTTTCCTTACGGTAACCTGGAATGCTGCAAAGGATCTAATAGGATGGATTTGCAAGTAGGTCACTCTGGAGGAGCTGTCATCATACAAATAGGGTGGGGGAGGGGTTATGTTTCAGTAATGAGGTTTGGCAATAAAGTTACCCTGGTTGGGGACTTTGTTTGAATCCCACTCTTCCCATTGTCTTAAAATCCAGGTAGTAGGTAGAATACCAGGTCAGAAGTACTGTCGATACAACCACCCGATAACCCACCCCAAACCAAAATGGTCCTGAGTAACAAGATCAACAGTTGTAGCGAGCATTAATTGAGCATTTACCGTGTACCGGGCACTTATTTTAGTGCTTTGAGTTATAAGATGTCATTGGAATTTCACAGTGACTCCACGTGAAAATCACTTCTGTTGTTCTTATTTTACAAATCTGTTTCCTCAGCGGATGCTCAAGAGGGGAGGTAACTCACCCAAGGTCATTGCTGAGATTTGAATCTGAGGAGCGTGGTTCTCTGCCCGCGCTCGTAACCATAATGCCACTCTGCTTGACCCCTCCTTTAACTGGCAGACGTTGAAGTCATCAGAAATGATAAGCAATATAAGAATGATGATGCACTGATCACCAGTGTCATTCATGGAAGTCCTGGGCATCTGAGGTTTGCCTTTGCGCATAAGCAGTGCTGGCTTCCCCACGGTGCCAGACATCTTAGTAGGACATTAGGATGCATTTCACACCGTATACATGTACCAACACATCACGTGTACACCT